GGGGGGGGACGCCCCCAGGGGCTCGTCGAGCTCCCTCGCCGGGGCTTCGGCGGCGGGATGGAGTGAGAGGGGTCATCCGTGTGAGTATTTGAGGCGTGTCGGAGCCCGAGGGTCCTTCGCGGAGCTGCCAGGTCTCTGCAGGCTCCGGCGGCCTAGGGGCCGCCCAATGACCCCCTTTCTCGGAGCCCACGCGGGGTCCTGGCTGGCGGTGCTTCTGGCCTCGGGATCCAAGTTCTCGCGGGCGCGTTTTGGCTCTGCTTCCAACCCCAGCCGGAAAGGTGGCTCCAAAACCTTGACCTTTCGGAGAGCCTCCCGAACTCCTTAGGCGCCGGCTGGGGCTGGAAGCCGTCGACCCTGGGACCTGACGGCCTCTGGGTCTGAAGCCAGGGCCCAGGCAGCTTTCGACTTCTAGTGACTGGCAGCCTCCGTTCTTTTCCATCCTGCCTAGTGGGATGCATCTTAATAATAGCTACTAATTATCGAGCGCATATGATGTAGCCAGGGAGACCATGCATAATTATGGTGAGGAAATGCGTTGCACCCTTTCCCGCTTCAATCTGTTCAATGTAATCACCTTTTAAAAAGAATTTAAATCATATTAAATTATCAATGTAATGTAATCATCTTTAGGAGTATGATGACGCCATCCTATTGGGAGTTGGAAATCCTCGTGGCTCTTAGCAACTTGAGGTTGCTACTTAGGGGAATTTCTTTAAATGAGTGTGTTATTTACCATAGTGATTGACACCGAATTTATTCAATCCACAGTTTTTAGCACTTGCTGAGAGCCTTGTACTGCTATAAGCTTCATGGAAAAAAAATCACTAAATTTTTTTTAGGCCTTGCTCTCAAGTTTGGTTGAGAAGGAATCAATGGTAGGTAGTATTCCAATCAACTAGGATTTATTTGGTGCCAGAAGCTCTGGTCTGTCACTAAAATTTAGTGAGATATTGTGTTGGAAGATGGCTTGGGGCAGCGTATTATGATAGTTTGGTGAAGCAAACCTGGCTAGAGTAATTGGTGGAATTCAGGCACTATGATGCTTTGCACAGCAGGTTTTAATGCCAAGTTAGATAAATTATAGCTATTCCAAGCACGGTCTGCAAATCTTACAGGAGAAAGATGAAACTTTGTACTCCCACTAAAAAGCTACAGTTTTGGAAACCCACAAGGGTAGTTGACTGGCCTGTAAGGTTGCTGTGAGTCAAAATTGTCCCGATGGCAACAAGTTAAAAGTTAGGCACTTCTACTGAGAAGCAAACTACATCAGTTACATTTGTTCCAGTTCGTATTGAGCTAAAAAGTGGTGGGGGTGGTTGTTAGTTGCTGTTGTGTTGGTAAACCCAGGTCTAACAACAAAAGGTCTGATCCTGCACGGGTTTCAGATTGTTGGTATGCCCGGGTCCATTCTTATGATCACTGTGCATTTGGAGTGTCCTCGTGGCAGAGTGGCTAATGGTTGACCCATGATCTGCACGGTCGAAATCGCCAGTGGCACCGTAGCAAAAAGGGCTTTCTATTCCTATAAACAATCTCAGAAACTCACAGGGGCAGTTCTACCCTCTCCTATAGGGTTGCTATGAGTTGGCATTGACTCAATGGCAATGAGTTTTTTGTTTTTGTTTTTCCTAACCCAGAGGGCTTGTTTTCCAGCACTATATACTGTTGTGATCTTTAAGATTTTTCATTGGCTAATTCAGTAGTAGATCACCTGGCTTTTCTTTCTAGACTATTTCAATATGGAAATGGTAGAAGAAAACGTAGAAGCTTTGAATTAGTTTAATGATACTTGCTAGGCAGTTTTTTGAAAATTCAGAATAGCCAGGAAGAGGTAGAAAGTATGAGATTACATTTATTCCTTACTTAACGACTCTCCTTATCCAACATTTCACATTGATGTCAATAGTAAAAAATCTCCCCTCTGACTATTTTGTGCATTAACCCAAGTTTCTTCTCAGTGTCTGGGCTCCTGCCACAGATCCCCCCCCATCCTCCCACCCCACCCCCCACCCCCCATTCCTGTCAGCCTGAATTGAAGGCTAGGCTTCCTGTGAAAGAAGCAACAGGGGTTGAATTTGAGGTGGGCCTCCTGAGTGGCTGAGTGGCCCGGGAAGAGGTGCTCTGGAGTAATCTGGGGCCTGGTGGTTATAGCCGAAACTCCCTACCCCCAACCTCCTCCCAGCAGCTGTTTTTCTCCAGCAGTACGTAACTCCTTTCTGTAGGATCCTCCCTGGTGAAGTGCTTGGCGATGGCAGCGTCAGGGAGTTTGGTCACCCCCACCTACCATCTTGACCCCTGCTGCCCTGGTTGCCCAAGCTCCATAACCACCAACTGTGCCTCTAGTCCACCTTTAAAGCTCCAGCCCTGACTTCTGAGCAGTTGTGGTGGGTGGCGGGGGAGCACAGCTCCTTCCTCTCCTCCTTCCCCCTAGTGTAATGCTAATTTGGCAAGATGAACTGACCAGGTCTTTGGATCTTAACCTTTCCCTCCGGGGAATGTGGTTGTAGTCTGATCCAGCTAGTTCACAAATCATTGCAGTGAGTTAAAGCAGTGGTTCTCAACCTTCCTAATTCCGCAACCCTTTAATACAGTTCCTCATGTTGTGGTGACCCGCCCAACCATAAAATTATTTTTGTTGCTACTTCATAACTATCATTTTGCTACTGTTCTAAACCGGACAACCCCTGTAAAAAGGTCGTTTGACCCCCAAAGGGGTCTCGACCCACACGTTGAGAACCGCTGAGTTAAAGAATCAAACACAACTGCCATTGAGTCAATGCTGACTCGTAGGGTCCCCTGGTGGTGTAGTGGGTTACAAGTTTGGGGATGTTAACCACAGAGACAGTCATTGGAGCACATGAGCCACTCCGTGGGAGAAAGGTGAGATTTTCTCCTCTCAAAGATTATAGCCCCAACAACCTACAGCGGCAGTTCTATTCTGCCCTTTTAGGCAGAATACCTGTGATTTAAAGGTATTTTAAGTGGGAAAATAGAAATGGTGATTATTGCACATTTAGGGTAGAGCACTGGTAGTCTGGAGGCTATATACTCGAGAGGTAGGGAACAGTGGTCGATTTTAGCTGACTTGGTCCTGGAACATAGAGTACGCTCAGTGAGATGTATGCATATTATATATTTTGCAATTGGAGTATTTTAGTGGGAGTTTAAGAATAATTTGTGTACTTCCTCTTTTTTTGTGTGTGACTGTCCTGACTGGTTTATTAGATATGAGCTTTATAAACATGACACAGATTAGCAGTAATGGTGGAGCTGCAGGGTGTTGTGCCTTCTCCAAGCAGTGCAGCGGGAACCACCATCCTGTGGTGGAACTTGTGGCCCTTTCCTAAGCCCCGGCTCTTGTGGCCTGCAGACGTCAGCCCCAGCATCTTTCTGTGTTTGTGGACTGGCTTAGTGATCCACTGAGTGTCAGGATTTCTTCTGATAGCTTTATGGAATGGATCAATGAGGATAACTTCGAAAAATTTGTGTGTGGAATCTTCACCAAGCCAGTACGAATTCAGAACCCTCAGGGCTCCACAGTGGTGTCCAGCTTGCTCCTCAGTGACCGATTGAAGGCTTCGAGCAAACTTCAGCTGGTTAACACTATGATGGACAGGTTTGCCATAGGTTGTACCCTTGGGCACTGGGCGTTGGCAGCCACCACAATGGACTCGAATCTGATAGGTGACATAACCTGGCTTGGCCTTGTAGCCCAGTCTGCACGCCTTGTCCGGCCGGATGGGGCACAATGCCCAGTGCAGCACCGAGAGCTGGCGCTACTGCCAACAGCGGACCCTCAGAGAAAGCACATCAGGTCCGACTGCTTCTTCCTCCACAGCTCTTGGATGTACTGGTAGGCACCCATCTTGGCTCACTTGATGGCCGCTGCCCGATGGAAAAAGTGTGTACTGTACTTCTTCTTTTGGCTCACAGTTGAGGAGAAAGGTCCTTGTCTCTTTTCATCATCTGTGGACCTTGGCGTTCTTTGGAGATGTCCATGTATCTTGGTGGTATGGGTCTCTCGCTTTCTCTGCACCCTTCTTTCCCCTTTTATCTCAATACAAAAGTCCGAGGAGCCCTGGTGGCATCATGTGTTAAGCATAGTGCGTTCCTGCAAGGTCAGCACGGCAGCTGCAGCTTCATGGGAGGAAGCTTTCTCTTCCTATAAGGATTTACAGCCTTGGAAATCTGTAGGGGCAGTTCTACTCTGTCCCACAGGTTTCTGAGTCAGTGAACTCCATGGCAGGGAGAAGACTTCCCTGGGAAACTTCGTTACATTGGACCAGGGTGGGTTAGGGCTGTGATTGGACTAAAGATGTTGTCTTCCACCCTTGATCTTTTTACAACTGATTGATACTTCACATCAGATGGGGAGGTCATTACATGATGTCCAAAATATACCATCACATACTTTACCTGTAAAATGGTGAGGATGTATATTGTGATTCTGACAGAAAAATAGGCAAAGGAGTGTTGCTAAAATGTTAGTAGAAATATTAATGAGTTCTGAAATTATTCAGATAATCCAAAAGAAGAAAAGGAGTGGTGCAGTATGGACAGGCTTCAGCGGAGCATCCAGATTTAAGAGAGATTAGGAAGAAAAGCCTGGTGATCAACTTCCAACAGTTAGTACAAAAAAAACAACATGGGAAAATGGTAGACTTAATTTAACCATATCAGTAATTTCATTAAATTTTAATAGAATAATTAAAATTTGATTGGCTAAAAGGAAGTGCATGGGAAGTGATATAAAAAATAAGCATAAAAGCATAAGTCTGGAGTGGCTATAATAATATTAGAGTAGACTTCAAGATAGAAGAGTATTACTAGACTTAAACTGAGAGATCATTTCATATTGATAAAACAAAAACTGTATCAGGAAGAGGTACAGTAATAGATATCTATGTGCCAAATGCTTACTAACAACTTCAAAATAGATGATTAACTATTATAATTAGACATTTTAATATTTCTGTCTCAGCATTTACTAGGCATAAAAAAATTAGTATAGATGTGATCTCCATTCAATAAGTTCAGAATAATTTTTTTTTTTTGCAAGAGTATTGTATTAGTCTGGGTA